GCCCCGCCTGCCCTCGCCACTTCCGCCGTGTGCGATCCCCCCCCACCCGCTGCCCCGCCTGCCCTCACCCCTCCTGCCGCCTGTGATGGCCCGCCCGACAAGGCCACGTCTGCAGCCGTCCTCGAGCGTGGTGTCAGCAGTGTCCGTAAGCGAACCACGCCCTCTTGCGCATCGGTTGGCGGAGTCATACGTGGCAGTGGCGCGCGATTTCCCGCGCCCTCTCTGGCTGCCGTCGCGGCGCCAACGTCAAGGATGTCTTCCGGTGCTGGCCGCCCTCCTGCGCGTCGTCTTTCGCCAGCGTCGTCTATGCGGATGCCGCCACTCCCCCGCCTGGACGACTTCCGCTGCAACGGCATGTCGTCAGAGTCTTCGAAATCCGTCCCCTCCTGCGTCGCCACGTCCGACACCCACTCTTCATCCAGCACATTACCTCCATGTGTCGGGGCGCCTTCGAGGATCTTCCTCTTCTTGCTGTCCATGTGGCGGCCCTTCTTCTCCCGGGTCGGCGGTTGTTGTGAGAGGTTGGCGGCGGCCTTGCCGCGTGCGGAAGCGCGTGAGGACATGGCGCAAGACGCACCCGCGGTGACGATGACAATCTGGACGACGAAGGCGAGGATCTACGGAAAGGCGACGATGGCGGTGAAGACGACGGGCGAAAAGATGTGCTCGCCGAGGAGAATGTCGCCGAAGACGACTGCAAAGAAGACGCAAGCAGTGAAGATAACTATGTTGGCGACGGACACGGCGACGATGGCGATGACGGCGACGATGTTGAACAAAAAGGCTCGATGGCGACGATGGCGACGAAGGCACGGATGCAGGCTATGAAGGCGACTCGAGTGGCGCAGACGACTGCGACCAAAAGCAGAACAAGCGTGGCGGGCGGCGGGGACTGCGTGAGGTAGAGAGAGAGAGAGTGTTGTCGTGCATTTGCGCAGAACGCCCGCGTCCTTATAAACACGTGTCACGGCGGCGACTGCGTGAGGTAGAGAGAGAGAGAGTGCTGTTGTGCTCTTCCTCTTGCCGAAACCGCCTGCGCCACCCGTCGTCTGCGAAGAACCTTTGGTGGACCCGTCATCGTCGTCGTCGTGCTCTGCACCACCGTCCTTGTGGCCCACAGATTCAAGATCCGCAGAGGAGGTGGATGGCAGACGCACACCACCCTGAGCGCCAGTGTCCGCGACGTTCTTCGGGTTTGTGGTGTGGTTCTTGACGGTCGACCCCAGTATCTTGTCGTAAACCGCACGATCCATATTGAAACTGAAGCCCTTCGACATCCTGTCCTTCCCAGACAATTGGAAGAAGTCCTGTTTCCCGGACAGTCCTTGGAAATGATGAACCTTCTTGAACTGCTGCATCAGATTGTCCCACTTCTTCCCGCACCAATCGGCCTCTCTGTCGACGCCCACCTTCTTCAACCTCGTCGCCACATCCAGCCACTTCCATTCTCGCGGCTTCATCCGAGAGTACGCGTGGCCCATCCCCTGCAAATGCGCATCCTGATCACGTTTAGCCCGGATGAGGGCTATAATGTCGTCGACGGACCAGAAGTGACGACCTCCTTCACCATCGACATCACCTTCGGCATCGCTGCCCTTGTCTGCCGTTCTTTTGCCCCGACGACCATTACTGCCACACGACTTCGTCTTCCCCCCCCCCCCTCTCATAGCGGCCGCCTGCTTCGACGACAAAATGTAGTCTGCGTCGTCCTCCCCACCTTCAGCGTCGTTGTCGTTCCAGTCGGGGTCGTGCGTGTCCCCCACTGCTTCCTCGCCGTCGTGCCCGTCTTCCCCAACACGCAATCGCTGCACCCCCCGAGTAATGGACTCCTCCCGCACCGACCTCATCAACCGTCGCTGTTCTGCCCACACCTCCCTTCCGTCACGTGCGTCACCAACATCAGCAACGGCAGGCGCCGTCTCCCTACACTCGCCAACATGACGACCTGCACTCGAACCGGCGGACAGGGGAGACGGAGATTGCATCCACTGGGGGCGAGCGGAGGCGCCCCTACACACAGACGACGACCGAAATTGCTGCCTAGGAGGATCCTTGTTGTTCCCCGAAGCCTCCAGCAACGACGCTGGAGACCTGGGTGATCGCTGAATAGCCGTCACGTCGCCTCCATCGTTGTCGGGATGGGGGTTTACGACGACCGTTCGAGAGACGGCTGCCAACCTCCCGCTGCCGAGTCCAAACGACAGATTCACGCCGCCATCGCCATCGGTGTCGTTGAGCCCCTGTTGGAGGAGCTCGGTGTACAACTGCCCTTTACCGCCGTCGCGGCTTCCAAACAGCTTTGTAGTCGTCCACTCCTGGGTGGATCCGCTTCCCAGCGGCACGGTCCGTGACCGTCTATCGTCCCCTTCCTCGTCGTCCGTGTCAGGCAGAGGTTGCAAGTTCGGTGGCAGGTGCGCGTGCCCGGACCGCTCCGACGGCCTTGGACTATTCGACGGGCTGTGCCCGGAACACCGCCCACCGCGCTCCCCTGCGGACCCGCTGATCGCCTTTCGGCCCTCCATTCTGTCGTTGTTCTTCACACACCTCCTTCTACGACCACGTCGCGGAAGGCCGCCGAGGATGCACACGTAAAAGACAACCAGGAGGAGGAGCAATAGGACGACCAGCAGCAGCAGCGGCGGCCTCCGAAAGACGTCGACCATGAAAAGCACGTGGATGACAGTGGCAGCTAGTAGACAACGGGGGATCTATCACGTAACGGCGACGGACACTGCTGCAAACGCCTGACCGCAACAAACGACAAAAGCACGGTAACGCATTCCGTTTGTGAACACATTGCGCAATCGCCCGGCCGGGGGACGGTTCAAATATTCGAATCTTGCGACTGTTGGGCGCCTTCCCGCTCGGGGACAAGGGCGGCGACACAAGAAAGCCGCTTTCCGACGTCGGGGAAGCGACCGGGCCGCAAAAGGGGACCGTTGGCGCACTCTTCCATGACGCCGACCGTTGCCGATCGAAGATGTCCGTCCACGGGCGCCAGGAACAACAGTGGTAAAGACGACCGTCGCAAAATGTCGTCGAGAGAGCTGCCGACGATGTCCCGATTCTTCCGGATGCTCGACCTCCGAGGGACCTCAGGAGGTCCCTTGGGAAACGCGTCGAAATGGCTGTGGCCCGAGGAATCCCCGAGGAATCCCTGAGGAAATGTTTTCACATTTTTTTTCCAATTTCTTCCCCGAGGATAAGTGGAACGATCATTTCCTCGGGGGATTTACGCGCCCGAGGAGTGTGGAACGAGCCCCATAGAATATGTGTATGTATGTGTATTCAGATGTGTTTTTATATGTCTGTGAGTGTATGGGAGACTCGGGTAAGAATTTTATTACTCAGGACAAAATCTCAGCCAGGAAAAGGGCGTGAGGTGGGAAGGGGTCTAGAAAATCTGAGGGAGGACGTAGTGGGAACGAGGGTTCTATGTTTGTCCAGTCTTTGAAAATTAGGCGGTAGTCTCTCATATCTTCCAAATCTCACTGTCCCTCTCCCTTGTCTCCACTCCATTCCACTTTTGCAATCCATCCTTCTCTCACCCCTCCTACCCAATCCGTGCAGAATGTTGTAATCCGTCTCCTAACATCTCCAATTTGCCTAAAGAGGTATAACTGTGCTTTTGTATCTAAACACCTTTGTGTGAGTTCAAACTGCACCTGCTGCTAATCATGACACCAAGGCTGCGGCACATCATTACTTAAAAAACGATCTCTTGCGAGCGCCTGCAAAGCACTGAAGATTTGACGCGTAGTGTTGATAGCTTTGTTATGTTTCCATAAAAAAGATTCTGCATAAGAGTGAGGTTCAAAACGGGCTTCCCATTCGGGTTCTAGAACCTGTTCTGTGATCTATGGCCCTTCTACTCTCACCTTCTCCATGGCTAGGGTGCATCTCTACCACCAAAGTGCCCATAACACCGCTCTCCTTCCAAATCTATACATATTCTCTACGAAGATTGTAGTTGTTCCTGTCAGCGGCCAATGGCCGGCTAATATGGCTTGCCAGGACCAAGGCCAAGGGATCGCCGGTTCCATTTTCCTCCATATGCAGTCCCACCATCTCCATATAAATTGAGCAATCGGGCATTGCATGAATATATGTTCGACGGTTTCTGCCTTTTTTTGGAAAGGGAAAAGGTTTTGGCACTGCTGGCACCACGGAAGTAGCAGACCTTTTTGTTCTAGATTAGTGCAATCAGTCAGTCAGTCATTGATTGGCAAACAGCGGTGGGCAATCTGCCACTGCAGAGAGGTGATTTTCATGGGTTTAGGTTTTTGTTTGTTGAACCATTGAATTGGTGACAGTAGAGAGCGGTCTACATTCAAGTGGCTGGCCCAGCGATCGTTAACTGTGTCTCTCAAGCGCCTTTTAGGTTTGAGCATTTTGTAGGCTGATTTGACCGACAACTGGTGCAGGCTGATGTGACTGACTTTGGGGTCTCCCATCCTCTGGGGGAGCTTCCGTGTCCATTCTACTGGGTCCAGCGCTAGATCCTAGATTGGTGTGAAAGGCTGGAACACCAGCCTCTGTCCCTTCTCTTTTATAACTCTCACTCGGAACACAGATGCTTTCTCTTTCCACTCGAAGGGGACTCTATTTCCTTGGAGGGTGTCTGCTCTGGTGATAGTGTAATGTTCAACCAGGACAGTTTGGGGTGAGACTATCTGTACCTGACCCATCCATAGTGGGATTTCTGTACTTGCAACCCCATCGCCTGTTCTCAAAGCAGGGCCTCGTTTAAAAATTTTATACCACGCCAGCGGGATGACTTCAATTAAGTTATCTAAAACACCCCTCTGTCTTTTGGTTGGCCCCGCCAGCCATTTCGCTCCTGTAGCTCAACCCCCAAATTTACGACGCCGTCGACGCGTTAATGGCCGTATTGGAAAAAAATGGTTGTGTGAGGTATTGATGGTATAAAGGACTTGGGTTGGTTGTCCGTCTTTTTCATTTTCAGTTTTCAACTGTAAAATGGTTAGTAACCAGTTTCACTATAAAATGTTCCTAGATCATGGTCTCCTATGTCACAACTTGCAATGGAAAAGTGAGCAAGGGTCAGCGGTGTAGCTCAATTGGTAAGGCATGCAAGTGACATTCAAGAGGTCATGGTTAGAATTCTCATTGTCTATCTCATTGGACGTTGTAACAAGTTGGTTAGCTGCACATATTTTTGTATCTTGTGCGACATCAACTTTAAGTAGGAATTTATATACTGTTTTTTTTTTTTTTCCGATTAGTACCTCTAGTTTTGGAGCAACTTTGCACGAATATCCTGAGCATTAGTACTTCCGTTTTCATGCTCCGAAACTTCAGTGATCTTAGTAGTTGATTTGCGTGCCTTAGCAAGTGCGGCCAAACACTATATACTACTCTCTGTTTATTGGGGCTCCACGCAACTGTAATTTGCCTCTTCGTCTCCTTACGACTCGTGCTCTATCCTTGCTTGTGCACTCCGCTTCTCCTCTTTTGAGCGCCTTCACTCTCTCTGCAAGCGTCCGACGCCAACAATTGTAACTGCTTTCTTCTTCTGCTTCCATGACTCCCTTCCTCCTCTTACGTTTTTTTTATTCTGCTTCTTCTTTGCATCATCTTTCATGTCTGCTTTCCTTCCTCCGCTTACCTTTTGAAGATCGTGGCACTTTGCTTCCCCTAGTTACATCTATAGAGGAGCGTTTTTTCTTCCTCTTGAGTATGTTGGATTTTGACTCTTTGGTTTTTTATCGATCCGATGAGAATGGAATGGTCGCGTGTTTGATGAGATCACTTTCTTAAATAGATGCATGAATCCGTGGATCGATTGCTTCACGAATGATTGTCAATAAATGAAGTACGTAGAATCATTTTTTGATCTTGTATGCTAGGTTGTTTTTTCGGGCGGACAGCCACCCAACTTCTGCCCGGATTCATACCCGGTTGCCTGGCTGGGCATGATCCTCGGGCTGGGTTCTGAGCAGCCCCAGCGCAAAAAATTAAAGTAAAAATAATCCCCGGAAAAAAAAAACATGTTGTGTAGATTTGCAATGCAAACAACTTTTGGCTGAGGGTCACATCCGAATTCCTCACTGAATAAAAGATAAAAAAGAAAATAACAAAATTAGACTAAGCCAACCTCATTTAAAATTTAAACCCCTTTAGCCCCTCTGCAGCCAATTTATCTCCCCCTTCCCCTCCCTTTACAACCAACACTAAAAAAATACAATATCCCGGATTCGGAGTACTCTCTGCGTACGCAGAAAACCCCCACAGGCCAAACGAAAAAATGAAAAAAAATCACCTACTTTTTCACTTGCCCGGGATACCCCGGGCAGGTCCCCTCCTGGGCAACTTGCCCGGGTGCTTGACCAGGCATGCCCAACCGTGCAAAAAAAACAACCTAGCCTATCCCATGATTGCATATGTGCATGTGAAACTCTCATTAACTCTTCCTCTTGCATGGGTACAAGATGGTGAATGAGTGTTTGAAGCGTTGTCCGTCTTGCATGTAATGAATGTTTGTTTTGTTTTAACCTTTGCGTTGGAAAAGTAGTAACATATAAGAATTTTTTTTGTTCCCTTTATTTACTGGTGGTCCCTTTTGGATGATCTTTCCATCTCTTTCTGAGCGAGTAGCAATCTGCTTTGGGTTACCACATGCCACACATCCCTTGCCTAGTGTTGAAAGTTTTTTTGTCATATTCAAGTATCTTCCAAAAGTGATTGTGTATTTGGTGTCAATCATGTTTGACCGTCTGCTGCCAGTGGTTGCATGGCGAATAGTAGTTCGCTCTCCTTTCTCAGTATAGATTGCGGCGATTGCTGATGGTTGCCTTCGTAATTTTTTTTTGACTAACTTATAAGATGGTGTTCTCTTACGCTCTTCAGGTTCATATTGAAAGGTATGGTAGGTGTGCACCAGATTCCCTCGTTGACTTTGAGCCGTATTCGGGCGTCCCATATAGTGCGGAAAGGCCACGTTGCCAGGTTGCTAAAGTCAATAAACCGCCTAAGATGGGCGATTTCTACGATCGAGGAACAGTCAAAGACCTTGTTCTTTGATGACTTTGTACGAACTCCTTGCATTTGTTTCCCTATTGAGCCAGCAAGGACCCTTGAAGGGCCCATGGTGGGTGATAGACGTCGTTGCACTAGGCTTTATGAGACCATCAGGGGTTACCCTACCCGGGTCCCTCCCAACGTGTATGTGAGTAACATACACGAAGCTACAACGAAGATTCATCGATCTTATCAATTCCCTGAAGACGGATTGTAGACACGGTATTTCCTCCTTTCTCGATTTTGCTCCCACTTAACAAGCTCACTGTTATTCTGTAACCCGCGGTTGCATGTTATCGGCCCGACACTCTATTCAGATTGTGGCCAAAGCAAATATCTAAGGGAGAAGGGGGTTCAACTACGTGCCACGTGGAGTTCAGGTAGTAGCGGACAGGACCGCGATTGCGTTCTCTCGATTCCGATTTTGAGCTCTGCGAGACTTGGCGTTAAGCCCTCACGCAGAGTAGAGATCCCGCGTACACACCCACACTCTTTTCTCCCAAGAAACGGCACCGGAGGACACGACATAGCCGCTCTGATTTTTTAAACATTTTCAAGTTACAAAATGTGAAAGTTGTCATGCAGACATGAGTCACGCATGAAAATGGCAGATTGCATAGTCCCTCGTCATTATCTAGACCTTCAAACAAAACCAATACAATGGATTTCAGTTTTAATATGCGACTTCAACCCCGGAAAGCCCCCCTTTCCTAAAATCCTTGCCACACCCCCATTTTCGTGCTTTTTTGGACCCTTCCGCACTAATCCCACTCCAAAAGGAAAGCAATGCCGGAGGTGGGGTTGCATGTGCATCACAAGGTAATATTGTCCACTGCAGGTCAGGTGCAGCCCATGCATGTTCCCTTCTTGGAGGCATGGACAGGGATGTTTCTGCAACGAGGTCCCGTAATACTATGATGATAACGAGATGGTTGAAAGGCCATCTTGTCAGATTGGACATGTGATCCCCCCCCCTGCCCCCCTGCCCCCCCAACCCCCACCCCCCCCTCAAAATTCAAATTCAATTCCATAATTCAAATAGAGGTTGAGGACCCCAACATTACACCCAAAACACTAGACTGAAAGCATCATCCAACTTGGCTTACATGTCACTTCATTTGGGACTTCTCCACTTACCACAACATATTCTTTTGGAGATAAACGTCTAATTGAATTTAATTATTGTTACTTACTATATGAAAATTGAATTTATTATATCTATTCGAGGAGTTTCTCGCATATAGTGGAGTTTCCTGTGTCTAATCACCTAGAAAGTACGACAACGAAATTACCTTAGGCGAAAACAATATAGTTCGAGAAACTGTTCGACTTCAGATACGTGAACGTAGGCGCCAGTCGTTCTATATTCTTTTTTAAAAGAACAAAAGATAGTGCAAGGATTATCAGCAAGAGCGATAGACAGAAAACCAAGTTGCAAAATCACGAAGTAGTCCACATAGTCATGTACCAAGCAGAGAGCGCAATGCACCAAGATTCCATCCAAAGAAGAGCAATACAATGAACTCGAGTGTTAATGCCGACATTCCCTGGTCACACCAACACTGTATCCAATGTCGCTCGTACTGTTTGGCGCCCAGCGCCCAACCTACTCTACTCAGCCTATCTATCCTATCTACGTTCATGCGACTGTATCATACCGAAGTCAAAGACCAATGTACGTGACGTCAACACCAATCCCGACCACCAGCATACACCAAGTACGTTCTCTCTCCTCCCCTCATCACACCTTGATCCCCTCTGCATCTGCCTCCTACCCGAAGACCACAATTGCCATCACTTGTTCGCGCACCAGCTGCCCGGGTATGGCTGTTGTGCACCTGCTGCCTTAGCAGCTCCCCTCTCACCACTAAGCCCGCACGTGCATCCAACCCTCAGCGCCCATGCAGACATTAGCGCAGCAACGCAGTAGCGAGCCCTCATCGCCTGCCAAGGCCAGAACAATGCTGCTTGGGCGAGGTACTTTCCTTTACAGAAAGTGCAGCCCTTCTTCTGACTGCATGGGCCTGGGTCTATGCCCAAGCCCCTCTGTACTGTTAAGGGTCTGAGCCCTTTTCAGTTGGGCACGTCCAAGTGGCCACGTAGCCTGTGTTCGCCGCATTCTCATTGGCTCGCGATGCATATGCGACGACAATGCTGGTTTCTCATTGGCCTGGGACCAGTCTGTGATGTGTCGGCCTCACACAGCATGTGCCCAGGGTGCAACCACCTGAGCCCTGAGCTCAACTGTACAACATAACCCTTGCTTCTAGAAGAAGCCTAAAGGTTCCCGTTGCTCTGTAACCAACTGACGTGTTGCAACTGTATGATTCCCCGCATATGGAAAAATGTCATAAAGATGCCTCTCGTATTCAGGGACGCCTTCACTTAGGGGGGGCACGGGGTTGCTGGGCCCACACTTTTTTTTTTTTTTTTTTTTGAGAAACAACCTGAACAGTCGCTAGGGGTGCTGGTAAGAGCAGACACCACTAGCGCCGTCGGGAGGGCTCCATCTGTTGGTGGGGAGCAGCACCTGCTGGAAAGCGGATCCGGCGTCCCTAAACATGAAATCATTTGATTATACAATCGTAAATTCATGGTGATTGTACTTGATCTCATCTGATATATAGTAAAGAGCAACATTGATTGCCCTCCTAAGAGCGGATTGACCGCTCTTCCAAGCATACGTAATCACAAAACAGCGATGACAGGAGAAGCCCAACCTAACCACCTCCCATCCCGATTAGAATTACGGCCCGGGCAAAACTAATCACCACCAACTAACCCACGCCCCTCCGCTGCCAACTAACAACTCCAATCATCTCACTGCAGCCACGATTAATCCTCATATCCTCCATATCATCCCAGCCAAAGCCGTCGTTATCATTATCATCAATATTGTCAGTGCTGCTATCATCAGCATCGCCATCGCTCCCAACAACACCGTTGTTGTTGTCAATTTCGTTGTCACCAAGGACACTGTATTCAGTATTCTTGAACTGATTGTTGTTGTTGATGTTGTCTTTGTTATTGTTGTCGATACTAGCGTTGTTGCTATCACAACCGTCACCTCTGTTGCTGATCTTGTTGGTGAAGGTCTTGTCATTGATGTCGTTGTTGTCATCGTTGTTATTGTTGTCGTTGTCAACGCAGCCATCGCCCTCTTCTTCACCACCCGCCGTTATATCCCCCCCAATCATATTATCGTAACCAGTATCAGTACTCACCTCGTCCACTCTCTTATCGTCGTTGACCACGCTGTCACCGACGTTCTCTCCCGTCGTCGTTGTCGAAATTGTCGATGTCGTCATATCCCCCTCGTTGTCGTTGACGCAATAGCTGTCAGAGAGAGCCTGCCCTTTCCGAAATAGATCGTAGCATTTGCGCACGATCCCACGCTTCCGGTCCTCATCAATGAAGTCATCAAGCCCCAGATCCGGCCCCTCCTCGAACGCCCAGATAATTTACAGCATCCGCTAGATCTTATCCTCCATCCAATCAACCATTAGGGATTCACCCCCTTGGCCCTGTAATGGATGATTTGATGGAGATGACATCACCCGCAGTATCTCCTGCATCTGAAGCTCCCTATCCTCCAGTTCATCCAACCATGCACCTGCCCACCGTTGTAAATCTTCAGTCGACGCCATATTATCTCCAAAATTTTATGCCGCGTCGTATGTGTTATGTGTCGACCATCGCCCCGCTCTTCACACCGAATTTCTCCTACTTCCCCGCCTATAGATCAAAAAAAATATGCCACGTCAGCTTGCGCACGACGCGTGGCGGGATCCATAGCCAAGCCACATACCACTTGCCACGGTGGCACGGCCAGTTGGACGAAGGGCAACTGGGCCTTGCCGGAAGCGATCGCTCAGAGCATTAGCGCTCGTCGCGACGCGGCGGTCGTATCGGCCATCGGACCGGTTCGTCGAGTTCACATCTGTTCCACTGGGCCCACAATCCAAATCACTTGCATGTCTGATAAGGGTCCAGCGAGGGCTCATTCCTCGCATTCCATCGCCCCTAGCTTCGAAAGTCCGTTGAGATGCTTCTACGCAGGTGTTTTCCCCTTAATTTTTCTTTCAGCCACGATCTGAGGTGCTGGTCGGACTAGCTCCTCCCTTGTGAACAAACGATCGTCTTTCGGATTTGTATGATGCATGAACCTGACCCTTTACTCCCTCATAGGTTTGGGCTGTCTTCCTCTGCCCACATGTTTGGGAACAGGCAACTCTCTCTGTTCCAGAATGTCATCGACGTCCACATAATTGTTCACGGTTGGGGGCAACATTGACCTCCTTGATGGAAATTGACATGTCTTAGCGAAAGGTGCCAGCTTAGAAGCGTGGGATATAGGGTAAGTGCGCAGATGACCATGGATTCTAATGTCGTACGAGGGACCATCTAGATAACTACTCACAACATCTACGACTTCCCAAGGACCAAAGTATTGCGGCATTAGTTTGCGCGAGATTCGAACTTTCTGACCCAGTTCACTAGCCTTTACCCAGACTCGTTCCCCTACCTGCAATGTGGACTGTCGTATGTGCTTGTTCTCAAAGACAATCATCGACTCCTGAGACTTTCTGATATGCTCGGCAGCCCGCTGCAACAACTTCTCATACTGGACACCAACTATTGTTCTGGGCGTTGCAACTCGTCGGTTTTCAAGAAGTCTAGTGCAGATCTAGGCCTCCATCCCAAATGCAGTTCATTCGGACTGACGCCCGTGGTGCTTTGAACAACGCTGTTGTACAGGCTGGCGATGAGAGACAACTTCTCATCCGATCATCCTGGTTGGGCTTAATGTAATGCCTAAGCAAGTGCTGCACCACGGACTTGATATGTTTCACTTGACTGTTGGCTTCCCATTTGTTCAGCAACCTTTTTCCATATTTCGCTCCTGAATTGGACATCTCTATCACTAACTATCGACTTGCGTAGTCCAAAGTCACACACCCAGTTATCCATGAATAACTTGATGGCATGCTCAGTTTTTGTCGTCTCTGGCATGCCAATTAGTCTAGTGTTATAGTAAACCTATATACTATGACGAAGATGTGCCGCCTTTTTTTTTTTTTTTTTTTTTGCTCGTCACGAGGGGATCCACTAAATCCATGGAGACACTTTGTCCCGAACCTGCAGGAAGACTTGACAAGTCTGTACATATTTCTTCGCATCATTAAGCATACTAGGCCACCAAAATCGTTGTACTAAGTTAGCACTAGTCTTCTTGTAGCCGAAATGACCTGTCGCATCGTGACACTCAACTAAAAATAAACTACAAAAAATCTCACTAGATGGAACACAACCTTATGAACCCTGCCTTTTCAAGAGAGATTAACCCATCCACCATCACAAACTCGTCTAATGTAGCTTTATCCTTAGCACCTAGTTTGCATATGATGTTCATCATGACGGGATCTTCCTTGTAGGCATCCACCAATGATCCAGTTTTTTTTTGTTTTTTTTTTTTTCCTTCAAGGCTGCCGTTGGGAGCTAGGGGCACTGGTATGAGCAGATGCCTCTATCTCCCCCGGTGAGACTCCATCTATTAGTGGGGAGCAACACCTACTGGAAAGCGGGCCCAGCGTCCCTTAACAGGAGCCATTGAGGTCCATCTGAAAATTCCATTATCTTCTACCAGCATTGACTGCCCTGAGAACAGGGGATTAACTGAGCAGGAAGATAAGTGGCTAGAGAGGGGGGAAAAGGGGCCTCTTCGTCCTTGCTGTTGGGCGCCCATCGACCCATTCACTGATTCAGACACAACAAATTAAGCCTCTACAACTTAGTAACTATGTAGACTATGCACCCCCCCACTCACTCTGCTCCATACCACTAATTATCTACCATTAACAGACTATGGAGCAGGAAGGGGTCAGGGAACTCCAAGGTGGTTCATTCCTTGAAGCAAATTATATAACCTCTTCTGAGGTTCTCATCACTCCATTAAAATGGCATAGCCAGGGAGGAAATGACAGACATGATTAAACAATTCGTACACCAAGAACTTATGACGCAATGGCAGAAGGTCAAAAGTCAGCTGGATCTGTGCCAAACAAAGAAGGAAATAGAACAAAAAATCCGACAATTTTCGAAGGACTGGCTGGGCGGCGCGAACGGAGGCCGAATCGCTTCCATCAAGTCGGACGGTGGCCGAACTCGGAGAGACGAAGCAGGCAACCACAACGGCAACCGGGAGCTGATCATTAAAGACTATGGGATCTGTTTCAGAGACTCGACAACGGTGGGCCAAGGGGTTCCGTTACAGCCACCATCGGATTTTCCCGACCCCTTTCTACCCCATCAGTTGGCGGTAGTGGACATGCAGTGCTATGGGGCGGAGTAAGCAGGACTGATGGACGTAGGGGCGCCAGCATCAGCCCCTCAATCAGAGAAGGGAACCAGTTGGTAGTTGCACATATCTGGCGTCGGGCATAGGGCGAAGAGGTTCCTGTCCCGATACAACCTGCTCAGTTAATCCTCAGGACCCCAGAGCAATCAATGCTGGCAGGGTTTTCTCTACTTCAGTCTGCATTTTCACTATGTATATGGGACGCTGGACCCGCTTTCCAGCAGGTG